TTTCAAGTCTCTTCCAGAACTGGTTCTCACTGAAAAAAGATGACGAAGATTAATCTTGCGTTTGAAGGCCGGGTGGAACGTTTCATGCGCAGATGCCCGAGAGTATCTACTGGAAGTGACTACCGAACATCGTGCTCGCTGTTCACCGCGATGGTTGGACGTTACCCCAACCCACAAAACGATCCATTGTTGTCTATTAGGTGAGCACGTGGACAGATGGAGTGGGACATGAGCGAACACCAAAGAGTGTGTATGGCGGATGAAGATGTGCCGTTGACCGGTGATCTTAGTACCAGACGGTTGTCGTAGTGAGTGACAGTATCGAGAGCTTGAGCGAGATCATGTAGAGCGAAGCGGCGTGCAACACTGACAGAGAGTGCGAAGTGATCAGTTCAACTTCTACGATCATGGGAGCAGGACATGAGTGAGTGCGAGTGGGCAGTGCAGAGTGCGGGTTGAGAGAATTGAGGTAGGAGAAGCCATGACCAGACGTGTGGGTGGGGTGGTAGATCGGGTCTCTGGGGGTACGGCCTCTAGCTGAAGCTTCTGACGGAGATCCTGGAGTTAGCTGCGAGAAGCATCGCACTGGCCCTGGGAATGGTGGATTGCTACGTACGCGCGGAAATGTGCAATGAAAGCAAACATAGTAGTTACCGCCATTGTGCCAAGCATAATGATGAAGTCTTGAGGTCGGTCGGGCTGAGTCTCGAGTCTCTACTGACGTGTAGAGCAGATCAGAGCGGTAAGAAGTCAATATAAATAGCACGGTGTTGTTCTGACGTCATGTATATCGAGTTAAAGGTACTTGTCTAAAAAGTCCTACGAATTTGGGAGAGACAACCATAGCTACAGCACATGCCATACTATTCGCCAGCAGCAATGTGACGCTAAGCTGATTCAGCTGCATAAAATTTAGGAACTATCAATACAAGATTATATATGTTAATTATGACAGTCAGTGTCTAGCACAAACTATCAGTCATCAATCTGATTGGCAGAATTTCACCGTTGATATTATTGGGTAATTCTAGATTAAAGACAGACCGCCAGTTCCGAAAATGGCATCGCAAGCCGTCTTCGAGTTCCTCGTCAGTCGCTATGGCGCTGAAGACGAAGGTAAGTTTTCGTTCTTACGGGACGGATTACCGATGGGTTATCTAATATATCGTACCGTCTCTGTAAGCTCTCATGCAACTGATGAGCAGGCTGGAAGTCTCTATCGAGTCCGACCTACTGAGAGGGAGGGCTCTATTTGGAGCACTCCGGAGCGGAGTCACCGAGGAGAACGCAGCGTTGGTGTTCGACTCCGTTATGCAGCTGGACGCAAACAAGTCGGATGTCGGTGCGTTTCTTGCATCCCCCTTGTTTACTCATGTAAGTACTTAGTTCAAACTGAAATAATATATATATATATATATATATTAAATAATATTAACTTATGAGGAGTTGTGCTTAATGAAGCTGGTAGTAGACCGCCTTGCGGTGGCGATAGGGCAACGGACTGGGCCGACTTTCGCGCTTGAGGGCGAAGTCGGTATTGTTAATGATAGGTGCATCAAGATTGCTCAAGAAAGCGCTGCAGAGAGGT